CCCCCACATCCTTCTCCTACCCACGCCCCCGGCACTGAAACAGTAATTCTTCCTGTGTTTCTCCTGGACTGTGGCTTAGCCATTAGAGATTTGGATTTGAATCAGTGCAGGGTAAGGCGGACACGGGCCTGTGTGCTGTGGGTGCAGCAATGCACACGCACTGTGCTGTGGGGACAGGAGGCGGTCGGCCCCTTGGCTGGAATTCGCCAAAGGGCAGGTGCAGGGCCAGTTGTTACAGATGGACCAGGGCGGGTGGGGCCCTTGGAGCCCTGCGTGTGGGGGAAATCACTGGCCAGGTAAGGCCATGCTAAGCCTTTGCAGCTGCTGGGGGGCCTGTTGGCTGCTTGGCTGGGTCGGTATTAATGATGTCTTTCCATTTCTGTCTTCTACCCCAAATTCCTTCCCAGCCGAGCTCAGGCTTGGGGGAGTTTGTCTTAGGATCAAGTGCTTCCCCATCTACTTAACAACAAATATCCATTATTATTTGTGAACCCTGATTTCATTGCTTCTAAATGCGTTTATCAGCTGGGAGGAGGCGTAGCCTTGTAAATAAAATGTGGTTTTGTTGTAAAAGAAAATTAACTGTGTGTGTGTGTATGTGTGTGTGTGTGTGAGAGAGAGAGAGAGAGAGAGAGAGAAAATATATAGTTGTCCATGAGGTTTAGGATTTCATATTTCAGAACCCACCCCAATGTGATACTGTACATTTGAGCAAGTTTCCTGCTGCATCCATTCATTTTTCCTCTTAATGAGTCAAACATTTTAGCAATCCCTGTACTTTATTCGGCTCATAATAGTGAGAGCAGCAATATTTTCCAGGGCCGCCTGACACTTGGGGAGCTTTTCACGAAAGCAGAAATCATCTCAGGGGAAAGACCTCATCTTTGCCTTCTTTATTTAAGGCTTGAGTTTGCCGGACAAGACAGCCTGAGGGGCTGGTTTGTTGGGTCTGGGAATTCAAAAAGCTGTTTTTGTTATGTATCTTTTCTCTTTCCTGGTGCTTTCTTATGTCTGGGTGGCAGTTTGGGCCTCTCCGGTTCTCCCAGCAGAGGCCTGGTTCTCCGAGCCGTGTGGGGCCGTGGGGCCCCGGATGCCCATAGGACAGGGAAAGGAGGGTACTGAGAGGACCGGACACAGCCCACTTCGCCCTTCTCTGAGCTGGGCCAGGTGGCTCTTTCTCCTTTTATTTCTTCCATTATCGATACAGTTCTAAGAAGGGCCGCGCACACGCACACACATGCACACACGCACCCCACATACCCAGCTCAGTATCCGCCTGCCAGCGGAAATGAAACCACAGCCCGTCTTTGGGGGTGTCTCCGAAGGCCGTGAGCACGGGCCTCCAGGCTCAGCAAGCTGTCTTGGTCCACTCGCTGTGACCCAAAACTTGACAGTTGAGGGGTTCATGCTGCCTCTGCTGCCTGAACTTTGGGGGTGACGTTCACACCTTCTTGAGTGAAGTATCTCACTCAGTAGATGAAGCCCAGAGCCCACGGCCGCCCCCCCTTCCAGGGGAGGGGAGAGAGGAAACCCCATTCTTGGAGTAGGGTGAACACCCGCTGTCATCTTGAGTTTTACTTTCAACACTGACAGTGGGAGGGAAGATTTGTTTGTTTGTTTCTTTTGCCCCTGGACTCACTTGGAGGCAGCGAGCTGGGTCCTGGGTCCAGGAGGTGGGGTTCAGAGCTGTCTGTGGGCCTGGGGCAGGGCCTGGCCCCTCAAGGGGGGCTTGGCTGCCAGGGGGCCAAGGCAGGAATCACCACTGCAGCACAGCGAACGGTGTCGGATACTTTCGGACTCAGTGACGGGGGCTCACAGGGCCTGCTGCAGGAGGAAAGTGAAAAGGCAGAGAGAGCCAAATAAAGGAAAGAATACCAGATGTTACCAAAAAAAAAAAAACACACACACACACACACACAAAACAAAACAAAAAACGGAGAGAAGAAAAAAAAAAGTGCTGGTACCAAGTCCTCAGCAAAAGATGGAAGGCAGAGAGGCAGGAATGCCTATGAACAGGCTTACGTGACCTTTGCTAATTTTTAAAGTAGTCTGTGTTTCTCTTGAATGAGAAGGACGAACTGAAATTACGTAGCTTACAGCCTCCTAACAGAGAGGACGTCTGCGTGCTTCCTAGAACTCCTCCCCGGAGAGCGGACAGGCAGGGCTGAAAAAGTTAATGAGAAGCAAAACAAAACAAGGACAAGAAAGATTAAATTATTAAGCAGCAGGAAGCACCTCCCCGTGCTTCAGCGAGGATGGTCACGCTTGGAAGTGTGGCCGTCTTGGTGACACAGCGGAGCGCCTGGCCTGTGGGCGAGTGGCAGTTGAAACAGGACCAGGTACCACCGCCCTTCTCACCACCGAGCTTGCCCCTGCTCCTTCTGAATTCTCTGTTTCATTTTGTCCTTTTTTGCTTTTCAGCTCATTTCCTTTGTGCCTCTCTCCTTTTTTTTTTTTTTTTAACAAAACAATATTTTGACATCCTCCTCCCATTTATTAGAGTTCCCTCTCTAGAAATGGCGCACAATACATCCTTATATTTCTAAAGAACTGTTTTCACAGCCCTCTCCTTTGGCTCTGAAATTATGTATATGTAATTGGTAATTAAAGGTGCAAGCTTTTCAATATAAACAGTATTGCTCAATGTTAGATCATTAAAGGGAAAAGAAGCACCGAATAATTACCTTTTCCATTCTGACAAACCGTTCACAGGAATCCGGTCCCCCCTACAACCACTGTTCGGCATGAGGGTTGTGATTACATTTCAACCATACCGAAGCATCTTTTCATAAAATAAATTGGTAAATTAATTATGTAGCATTGTGTTCCACCTCCTTTTTAAATAAACTCCCGATTTCTTTTTTAAAGTGTAATTAATGGTTCCTGGGGCTGGCTTGGTGAAAACCGTTTCTCTTACCTTATAGGTTTTTGGGGTTTTTTTGGTGTGTGTGTGTTAGAGGCATGGAGACAACAGATTTAGGATTTCCTCATCTTCGGGGTGTTTTTGTACTGACGTGGGTCTCATGCATGTCCAAGTGTAATTCATGGAGGACTCTGTCTGCTTGTCTCTAACCACAGGCAGGATCTCAAATGCTAACTTTCCTTCCCAGCCACACCTATGCCTCGACCTGTTCACATGCGGCTCATACGTGTCACCTGTCCTACAGTGTCCATCCTAGATTCAGCATCACACGTGGATTCCCACGGGCCCTGAAGAAGCTGTGTTCAGAAAATACAGGACAGGGGGGCGCCTGGGTGGCTCAGTCGGTTAAGCGGCTGCCTTCGGCTCGGGTCATGATCCCGGGGTCCTGGGATCGAGCCCCGCGTCGGGCTCCCTGCTCAGTGGAGAGTCTGCTTCTCCCTCTCCCTCTGCCTGCCTCTCTGCCTACTTGTGCTCTCTCTCTATCTCTCTGTCAAATAAATAAATAAAATCTTTAAAAAAAAAAAAAAGAAAATACAGGACAGGGATTCATATGTAAGATAGAAGATGCCACAGAATTTTTTCCTTAAATTATCTGTTCTTTGGCTCTGGCCCGTCAGTAACTTCACTGCCCCGGAATGTGTTTTCCCTCCCATCCATCCCTTCTCTCCGTTCCTCTCTGGTTTTCATTATATCTCACTAAATACCATACAACTTAAAATTTACCTGCCTCCTCGGTTGTCAGACCCTTGGCTTTTCCCAGCACCCCGACACTCGTGCTGGCCCTACGACCACATTGTTTGCTCTTGAAAAATTCCAACCCAAGTTTGCTCAGAGCCTGAGGGGATGTGCAACCTCATTGTCCACTCCCCTTATTTATGACACTTTCGGCGGCCGAGTCTTCCCGTTCTCCCCCTGGGGGTTGCTGCTGTTGGAGGCATTTACTGGCTTCAAAATATTTGGGTCCTCTGTCCCCTCCAAAATAAAAAAAAAAAAGGAAGTATATTGGCTGCTAAAGAAATATGAAAATGTACAGCCCATTGAAAGTGTGGTGGTTTGTTGTCTGCCAAGAAATGCTTTTGGAGTCTGACGAGGTTTTTTTTTTTTTTTTCCTTTTCTTTTTCTGGGAGTGAAAAATAAAACCAACAAAACAGAAAGGACAGTGGGGAGCTGATGAGTGCCGGGAAATCTACAAAGTGATGGCGGTCTGACCAGGAGCAGGGTGTCTGGCAGGAGAGTGGCTCCCTCTTTCAGGGAGCAGACTAACAGCGTCCCTTCCCCTGCATTGTTGTTGGTGGTGGTTATTTTTTTCTTCAATATTTCTTTTTGAACCGACACTCACTTGTTGCTTTCTGAGCATGTGGGCTTCTTTCTCTCCTAAGGCCTGGCTGCCTGACGCCCGTTTGGGGCTCTGCTTTCTTGTCTGGTGTGCAGCCAGGTCTGAGGTAGAGGAATGCAAGCAGGTCTCCCATGAATGGGGAGGACATGAATGAACCGTGGAAGGGAGGGGGCGGCCGATCGAGCCCAAGCAGGGTGAACTGGCTCTGGCGCACGCTTCTCAGCCTTGGCTGCCCACTGGAATCACCTGGGGAGTCTTAAGAATAAAAAGACAATCTGAGGTTTGGATCTCGCTGTAATTGGTCTGGGGTGCCGCCTGGGCACAGGGGGTTCGGGGCTCCCCAGGTGGTTCTCAGATGATGTAAAGTGGGAGAGACACGTCTCGAGCTTGAAGTACGGGGGCCCGTGACACTGAGCCTCTTGTGAAAGCAGGACGGGTGTTATGTGCACGTGGATGTGTTTACATGCTATATTGCGGGGTGGGAATCACCAGCAAATAAAGGACAAAGCAGTAAGTTTAGCATCAGTTAAGCAACCACCTCCATGGGCTGCGATGTTGCTCCCGGAGCCTCAGTTTGCCCATCTGTGGCCTCCGGGAGTCATGCGGGGACTTGGTGACCTCTAGTATCCTGCAGCGGAGGGGCCTCCTCTTGGTGGGGAAGGGTTGGAATGGCCGCTGGGTGCCCGTGATTGCCTAAGCCCATCTCTGTCTTCTCTGCCCCCTTCTCCTCTCTCTCTCCAGCAGAGGCTGACCATGTGGAGGCCGCCATCCTCGAAGAAGACGAGGGTCTGGAGATAGAGGAGCCCAGCAGCCTGGGGCTGATGGTGGGTGGCCCCGACCCTGACCTGCTCACCTGTGGACAGTGTCAGATGAACTTCCCCCTGGGGGACATCCTGGTTTTTATAGAGCACAAGAAGAAGCAGTGTGGCGGCAGCTTGGGTGCTTGCTATGACAAAGGCCTGGACAAGGGCAGCCCGCCGCCCTCCTCGCGCTCCGAGCTCAGGAAAGTGTCCGAGCCGGTGGAGATCGGGATCCAGGTCACCCCCGATGAAGATGACCACCTGCTCTCGCCCACGAAAGGCATCTGCCCCAAGCAGGAGAACATTGCAGGTATGGAATGTTGCCACTGGCCAGGTCGCCACTGAAGCCACTTCCTGGGTCCCACGCCCGCCTGTCCCCTCTTTGTGCTGGGTGTCGGTGCTGGGAGGGCCCAGGGGCTACTGGGATAGGACCACCAGCCAGGGCTCGCCCTTTCCGAGGGGCCACTGTCTGGGTGACCCTCAGGAGGAGACAGGCCTGGGGCTCAGAGAGGCACAGCTGGCTGATGGTTGCTTTGCTTTTGGCAATGAGGCTCTGTTGTGGGGCCTAATCCATAGGTGGCCGGGAGTACAGAACAGAAATTTGGAAGGCTAGGGTGGCCCTCGGTTTGCTGGTGTTCTTGGCTTAGTCTCTGGCTGTGCAGCCAGACTGTCTTGGGTTGGAATCTGTTCTTCACAACATGGACAAGTCCGTTTTTCCATCTGTGAAATGGAGCTAATGAGACCGATCTCCACAGGGTTGTGGTGAGGTCTAATGAGACGTGGCCTGTGGGCAGGGCCTTGTAGGCACTTAGGAACGGGAGCACTCATTTCTTCCTCCTCCTCTCTCTGGCCTCCATTTCCCATCCGTAAAAAGAGGCGTGCTGATCTCAGAGGCCCCTTCTGATGTTGCCTGGTCCTTCTGGCAGGTCTAGCGAAGGGCTTGCGGGAACTTGCTGGAGCACTGCGCCCCTTTCAGCTGACCGCCTGGACAGCTGACTTTTACCACCTGAAGAACAGGTGTTGGGTTGTGTCTTCTGGCCACAGGGAGGTGGCACCATGTCCTGCCGGGCCGTGGTCACGGAATGCCAGAGCCTCCTCCAGGGAGCCCGAGCTCTGTGCAAGCCACAGTGTTTGCTTTTGGTCCTACTTCTGAGCCTGGGAGGCCCAGCAAAGATTGAGGGCCGGGGTGGCCTGTGTTCCTGCAGTAAGCAGCAACCAGTCCTACAGCAAGATGGCACCAGCGTGCGTGTAGATGAGGGGTCACATCCTGCCGGTTGGCTCTGGACAAGCTGCTTCATGAGTCCAGGCCTCAGTTTCCTTATGTGTCAACAGCGAGTGAGAATACTGGCAGGCCTGTTGTGAGGATTGAATGAGCAGGGGCTCCGTAAGTGCTTTGCCAGTGGAAATTTCCTCTCAGGGGTCCCCTCTGGTTCTGCAATGTGCAAGTAGGTGCTGGCTCTCTTTTGGGCGTGGAAGCTAGTGCTGGTGCTGGAGGGACTGAGGCTCTGGGTGCTCCTCCTTGGAGGATGAGCCTGGTGTAGCCCAAGGCACCTGCTCCCACGGGTAAGATGGAGCAGAGAGCCCCATCATCCAGAAGGCAGTCATGGTAATGCAGCAAAGCCACTTGGCAACTCTGAGACTTCCGGGCCTCAATTTGCCCGTCTGTCAAATGGGATTAATGAGTTCTCTCTTGGGAAGAGACTGTGGTGGGATGCAGACTCCTGCTGGCACATGCTAGGTGCTGGGGAGACCCCATCAAATCATACTGGCCTGTGGGCCTTGCCTTCTGGCTGCTGAGCTAGAGACATCTCTCTTGCTCTCAAGTTGCCAAGGGCTTTGAGAAAAATGCCCAGCATGTTCAGGGCCATGGTCATGTAAACCCCGGCTTCTCAGAGTGCCCTGCAGATGTGAGTGATGCTGCCTTCGTTTGGGCTGGAGCCTCCCACCCAGAAAGGTGCCGGGTCACTTTTGTTGGTGTTGTTGGGGCCCCCATGCCTTTCTTTTCTTTGACACTGGAGGAACAGTTTTCCTCCAGTAGAATAAACACCCGGCATCAGTGACCACAGACCTTGCCCACGAGACTCTGGTCCCTACTTATATTTCCATGGAAAGGCATTCTGCTTTCCCCCAAAACCATCCGAATCCTCATTTCACGATGAAGGTATTTCCCAGCGAGAGGCTGCCGATCATTGTGGGTAGGTTTGTTTAAGAAAGCGACTAGATGTGATTTCATAAAAGGCGAAGTTAATCTGCAAGGCGGCTTTGTCCTCACCCCCCCATACCCCCTGCGCCCCTTTTTTTCGGGTTGTAATACTGCAGCAGCCTACAGTATTTTTATTTTATGTGTGACAGAAGATATTCTTGGCCTTTTCTGTTCAGCAATAGGACGAATGCATTTCTTCATTCTCGAAGAAATATGTAAAATAATCCCTTAGAAGTCTAAAGAGATATGTTTGTTCAAAGCATTTAAAATGTTATTTTAATCAAAGGCACAAAACAGTCTCCATGCTGTGTCAGCTGAAGACGACTATCCCGTTCTAGCGGCACGTTGTGCCTTCTTGCTGGCCCTCCTTCCGCTTCTCCCCTCCCTGCCTTGGCACCAACTTTTCTTGCTTTCTTTTTTTTTTTTATTTAATAAAAAAGGAAAGATTAAAGAATAAAACTTCAGTGGCTCAAATGTATAAAGTAATTTAATATGGTGGGAGCATTAATTATTTTAGCTTAATTGAATTCTGAGGACTGCAGTACTTGCATTTTTGTAGACAAGCCCTGTTTATTATTTCTCTGTGTAGATTAACAGTAAAGGAAACACAGATAACTTTCAGTTATTTATTGTAAAATAAATGTGTCAATTCATGTGTAAAGCAAGCTGCTCAAAGATAATTGAGTCTTTATATTTTAAGAGGGGGGCCAGGAATCACAGGCGCTTCTCCGCCCGGGCTTCCGGAAATCCGCACAGCTGCTGCCCAGGCCCCTGGCACCGCTGGCCTTGCCCAGGCCTCTCCTGTTCCTGCTCCCCAGCCGAGGTGGGGAGGGATGCTCCAGCCTGTCCGAGCCCCACTGTTGTCCCCAGGGCCGGTTACTGGGGAGCAGGTGGCTGTTAACTCTTGGGACTTGGCCTCTGGTTTGGCTGTCCCAAGGGAGGTGCCCGCGGTGACCATGTGGCTCATGCCTTTTGGGGAACCAACAATCTGAGCCTTGTCCAGACGGGTCCCAGCCCTCCTCGCTGCCCAGTGCTTCTAGAGGCCGGGCTACAGAGATGGATGGGCAGGGCTGGCCTGTGGAATAGGTGGGATCCCTTCCACCTTCAAGGGCGCCCCCCAGGGTGACATCGGAATTGGAATTCTGTCAGTCATTGGACCAGGGCTGGACCCTGGATCGGCCCTTTCCTTGGGACACTGGGGTCTGGAGATGGGCATAAAAGGAGTAGTTAATCATTTTTTTTCTTTCCTTTATTATTATTATTTTTTTTAATGATAGAGAAGTAGGAGAGTAGAAGGAGGAACTTTTCTGTAGCTTTGTATCTTGGAGGGCATTCGTTCATTCATTCTTTTGTTCATTTAATAAACAAGCACCTACTGCTCTTCCCCTGCTCTGAGCATCCCCCTGGCCGTGAGGTGACAGAACCCCCCAGGGTGGGGGGAGCATGGTGAGAGGACGTCCATCTGGGCTGCTGCTCTGTCCCACTTGGGGGACATGGCCCAAGTGTGAGCAGTAGCTGCCCTGCCCTTGCTGTGTGCGGTTGTGGCCCCGGGGCCCTGCGCCTTGGCCGTGTGCTGTGGGCAGAGCAGGGCCATGGAGCCTGTGTCTGAGGCCCATCTGGGGACAGAGGGGTGGAGTTGAGCCGAGGTGGGGGCTCAGGTCTGCCTATATAGGAGTTCTTTACCTTTCCCAAGCCCCCTTCCCACTGCCTTCTCCCACTTCTGGCAGAGCTGGGGTGAGATGGGTTCCAGGGTTTGCAAAGAGCAGGAGTCTCTGAGCATTATGTGGGATGGGTGTCTTAGGAGGGGTGGGGAGAAGGGGGCTGGGGGTGTTTGGGGTTCGAGGCCCGCGCCAGGGAGGCCGTGTGCTGCCCCGTGGGAAGGGACCGGTGCAGGTCTGAGCCCTACCCTGCCTCCTGCCAGCCTTGGGCCATGTGACCTGACCTCCTGAGCGGCAGCAGCCAAGTACGGGGAGCACATCTAACAGTAACTGTGGTGTTTAAGTGCTGTGTGCCTGCCTGGCGCATGGGAAGCCTGCTGCAGGGATGAGTGCCTTCTTCCCTTACTGGTGCTGTTTCCCCAGCTCCATTTCCTGCTGGTACTGTAGCCAGTGTAGGTCTTCCAGGAACTGGGGGAGAAACTTCCATTGGCTTCGGGGAACTCCACCATCAGAAACAATGTCAGAACCACTGTCGTGTGTCCCCCTCCCCCCAGCCATCTTTGGTCACGTTGTTACTGTCCTTTGGTGGCCGCTCTGATGGTGGGTCCCTCTGGGGAGGAGCCTGGGGGATCAAAGGAGCATGGGCTTTGGTGTCAGTGGGGAGGGGTGCAATTCCAGTGCCCGCCCAGGCCAGCCACTTCACTTTTCTGGGCCTCAGTTTCCTCGTCTGTTCCCACTTGTCAGTCCTATGGCAAGAATGAACAGCAATGAGAGCCAGAGAGCACCCACCTAGCTCAGGGTCCGGCTGCAGCCAGATGACTGAGAAGTGGAAGCTTCTTGAAAAGCTTTTAAGAGGGTGTGGACCCCGCTTGGCAGCACGAGGTGTTGGCTTCTCAGTTAGAATCTTGAAAATTTCCCTCAGATATCTCTCTCAGCATTTCTACTGATTCCTCCTTAGAATCCCCATTTTATAGCCACTGGAGGGAAGGCTCTTGATCACAGGTAATTCGTTTTCGCGTGTTATCACCCCTTCCATAACCAGATGAAGCTATAACCAGAGGAATGAGCCATCAGCTGTCAGTCAAAGGTTTGCCTTTTTGCCTTTTTGTCCTCCCCTCCCCAAGCCCCAAATGTCAAATTTCTGGAGAAATGCAGGAGACAGGCAGCGGGTGACAGGAGGTGGCAGATCCCCCTGGGCTGGAAGTGGCAGGCAGTTCCCTGCTGCGATGGCCCCACCCACTCTGTACGTCTTCATCTGGAACCGAGGAAGGGTCCGGGGTGTGCCTGGAGGCGGGGGGTTCGCGTAGCAGGCAGAGCACAGACAGGGGGCTTGGTTTGAGGTCCCAGTGACCCATTGCTAGGCAAATGGTGTTGGAGAAAAGGGCTTCTGATCAGCTGGAGGATTTACATGCTGCTCGGCAAATGTGCATTTCAGACTTTAAAAATAAATAAAATAAATGTGAAAAAGAGAATATTAGCTTGGTCAGTGGAAGAAACTAAATAACTTGCTTGTGCTGGAAACTGGAGATAAACCCCACTTGCAGGTTGTCTTTAAAAACTTGCGTTTGATATATTTAGTGTTGTTATTTTGCCTCCAAATTAAGGTTAGTTAAATCCATGTGTGTTGTAGCATGGATTATCTTTTTGTATTATTAAATCGTGACAGCTAATTATTAGTTCTGTCTGCACCAAGGAATAGTGGAGTGTTCTGTCTGGGAGACATGGTCCTGGGGCTGGGCGTTGTAAGGCTGGCCCCAAAGCTGGGGCAGGGCTGGCAGGTGGTGGGGAAGAGGGGGCCTACCTGGTAATGCACATTTGTGCTTAGGTGCTTTTCTTGGTTTACCTCATCTTGAAATAGACACCAGCCTTGAAACAGATACTTCTAATCCCACTTTGAAATAGGTATTTTCTAACCCCACTTTGAACTAAGGCTCAGAGAGGTTAAGGGACTTGCCCAAGATCACACAGCAAAGTGGAGTCAGACTCGGGTCTGCCTGGCTTCCTCGGGTGGCACGGGGAATGGAGGCCTTTAGGGAGGGGTAGTCTAACTGCCTGGCTGGCCCAGCCAGTGGGGCAGGCACGACCTCCAGACCCTGTCCAAGGCGATCTTTGAAGCCTTCCTAGGTATGACTCTGCAGATACAGCCTGGAGCCCTC